TTCTATTGTCGTGACTTCTAACTTTACAGATAATATTGTAGAAGAATTTTGGATATGATTAAAAGACAGCGCAGTTTTGAATTTGCTGAAAATAAACATTATACATGACGTGTGATTTTAATTACTTTGTTACTGTACTTTATGAATCTGACGAAAAGTTTCAAAGTGAAATGAAAGATAAAATTAAAAAGCGAAATCTGATTAAAAGTACAGAATATTTTGAAAGTCCATTTAAAGAATCGTTAATAAACAAAGTACTGGTAAATATGAATCTATGAATTTTTCATTTTAATAATATAGACATTTCCATTTTGTTTTCTGTAAAGTGTATTTCTTAATTTCGTAATTTTTAAAACTAGTATTTTTTCCATTTTCAAAATTATTTTATTTGTAGAAGAGAGAAGATTTTTTTTTAATATCTGCACAAATTTTCTAAAATATAAACACTATTAAAGTTTCTCAAGTTTTACCAATTTTTCACATTCAAATAATATTAAACAATTATTAATTATTATTATTAATAATGTAAGTAATCAAATAAATTTTAAATTGAATAATAATCTTTTTGGATCCCTTCCACTTAATTCGATTTGATAACGATTCCGTAAACTTTGTCGCATCGTTCCAGATTACATCACGTCTTGCAGAATCGTTTGAAATCTCCTTATAGTCACCATATCCATTTACATTACTTAACAGGATTATTCAAATGAAGTCAGACCCAATGTATTCGGAAGTACCTGAACCCTAATATTTCGATATCTAATCTTCGTTAAATCTAATCGGACTGTTCTCAGTCTCGTTACTTCAACAAATGATTGAACCAAACTCTTCAAATTTCAACAGGTTTGTCCAAATCTCCACAGAATTGGGCTTTAGCCGGTATCAAGCTTGAGGATTCGTTTAAGTCGATTGTGGTTTCCTAGAATTGTTTCTCATCAAACGAAGTTCGTTACGGTTTGAAGAGCTTCCGACAAACTCCGCTAAACCGATTAGGAACTTCAAAAACGTGTCTGCAGCAAATTCGGCTTGATTTATGTTTTATTCTATATTAAAATACACATTATTTGTTGAAATTAACGAGAAAATAAGAAATATTTTAATAATCTTGTTCCCGTATAATTTCACACCATTAATATCAAATGACGGAAGCGATTACTTCTTCTACCTCGTTTTACATTTCACTAATACATAAAGAAGCGAAGAGCTTTTAAACTTAAAATGCTCTCTGGCAGTAATCTCTTTTCTATTGAATATTGGAAATAGATATTGTTCTGATGCAGTTCCAATACAATACAAAGAATTAACTTAACTGTAAATAAATAATCGACAAGCCTTCGTATTTTTAATATGCGATAATTTATCGATCAAAATAGTTACAAAACCCATGAGTATTTTTCCTCTTAATATAAAAATTATTAAAAATCTACGTCAATTTTATTCACCATTCTAAAGGCATATAATTTCCAATGCATGTTATTGTTCTGTGTAAAACATAAACACAATTACAAAAAATATAAACTTATATGAGAACATAGTTAATTTTTATTTAAAATGAATATTTTTAAAAGTATGAACATTTTAATTTGCAAATGATAATTTAATTTAATAGAAACATTAGCATTACTTTCAGAATGTGTTTTCTTCGATCTTCAAAATACTTAAAATATAATTATATATTTTAATTTGCAAATAATAATTTAATTTAATAGAAACATTAGCATTACTTTCAGAATGCGTTTTCTTCGATCTTCAAAATACTTAAAATATAATTATATATTTTAAAGACATAATTTTCTTCGTTTGTTCTCTTTCATAGAACAATGTAAGAAGAATAACTTCGTACAAGAAACAATTATCTAGAAATAATGCGTTCAGCGATGATAGAATCTCATTGTTCTTGAAGTGGGAACTATATGGCAGAATGCCAACACAGAAGGAGGCAATTACTGCTAACATACCGCGGAGAAAATGTGAAGCGTAAGGGTACATATACCTTCATTTGATCATTGAAAACGAGTTTCATAGCTTGTTAGTTTTCTTGAAAAACACTACTGAAAATTAGATATGATTTTACTCTAAAAACTATACGATTAAATCTACTTCTAAAATTACATTAATATAATATTGTAAATAGCAAACATTATTTTATATGAACATTATTATATTTATAACGAGAATAATTTTAATCTTAAAAAATAAAACACATAGTTTAAATAACGTATTATAAGACGAGTTTATTATAAAAATAATAGAAAAGTCTCGCAAAGACGACACTATAATGTTGAATTTCCATTTCCTGCGAATGTAAGCAATATTTAAGTATGTATGTATATATTTCCAAGGGCTATTCTTTTATAAGTCAGATTATACTAATTTTAAAAAAAATATCCAATAGAAAATAACATTTCTATAAAAAATCAGCTTAAATTATCTAAGAGATAGCTTCAAGAACAAATTTAATTATTTCTCTACAATTTTCTATAAATTGTTTGGAGGATAAGTACAAAGATATGTAACAAAAACTACTCACTATAAATAATCAGGTTAAAATTTTCATGAACATGTATACAGTGTTCAAATATTATAGGCATTTAAAATATTTGTTTATTCGTAACTTCGATATTATTTTCTGACAAATTTCTTTATATATTCTCTTAAAAATATCCTATTTTAAACATGTCAGTGACTTTTGATATTTTGTGTTTTAGATTCTTTCATTTTTCCAAATTCAAACTATGTACATATATCTTTATACATGAATTCTTTATGAAGAAATTACATGTGCAAACATATAGCAACTTCTACGTGTATTTTTAATGAAGAATGAAGCTTTCTATGTCAAGTATTATTAAAACACTTTTCGAGCTGTGTCTCTCAATTCAGAGGGCTAACAACATTGGGAAAACGCTCACGGAATAAGTACTTAATCCGACTCACATTTCTGAAATTTCCATCTAGTAAAATTTCAATTTTGAAAGTAGTTTAGCGTACATACAGGCTTGGAACCTCTTTAGACGAGAATATATGAGTTGCAGGACTTCCGTATTAAGAATTTCATACGCGAGTTCCTTTCGCACGGTTTCCCGTTACACTACAAAACGCCTTAATACACCTTTTGAAAGCATAAAGGTATAAACTTTTTCTAACAAACTGCAGCCTGAAAAAATAAGATAAAAACTGTCCATGTTAAAGGAAGTTTAAGATTGGCTTCATTACACAAAGAAAGCCCATAAAAACTTTGTTTTTTAATTGTAACTGTAATTTATTATTATCACTATAAATTATTACTATAAATTGTTATCACCATTATTATTATATAGACGTAAAATAGACATCATTTACTTCAAATCTGCATCAAAATTGTATATCGTATATAAATGTCCAGAACCCTCATTTCTATTAATATTTAAAATAAAAAAGTAATTTAAAATACAGCTTCTGTAAATTACTGTACACAAACAAAAGTATACATTTGTAGTAAAAAAATGATTTATAGGATGTTCTTTCAGAAAATATAACAATATATCTTACTTTAGGAAACACGATAGATGACTGTTGAACAAGTTTGTGAATGTTGTAAACTTATACAATGCGGGAAGAAAGTACGTGATCGATACAACGGGAAACTTAATGTGCATGTAACGTATATGCTTCCATCGACTTCTCTATATACCAATATATTCGTATTATACAAGATATTACGACCGAATGAGACCAAGAAAGTTGCAAAATACGCGTGGATGTAGTTGAATATTTTTCAGTACATCGTAAAGTAAGTCAATATCTCTCTACATTTCCTGTAGATTGCAAATATTTGACCTTTAAATGACATATTGCGATCGAAAGGATGACGGATATGAAGATATATAAAAAGAATATTACGTTTATGTAACGAAAACTGTCTTTTCGATTCAACTTTTATACCACTTTATTCTTATACTTTTATTTCTTTTTCTACGCTTTCATACACACACGCACACGCATTTATAAGTCCTACAGTAATAGGGTTGTCGTATTTCGTTGATAATAGAATTACGCAGTGTACTGTGACTTATAAAACATACAATAAGCCAAATATAAAATTCACAGATCGAATTGATAGAACGTAACAGGGCAGAATAACATACGACATTCGGAAAAAAATTCATTCGGAACATTTTACATCGATGATATTAATTGACATTCGTCCAACAGTTGATTTAATAATAATAATCCAGGCAAACATAATATTGTCTAAACGTCCGGATATAATGCAGTTCCAGCGTTCATTGTTTATGTAGCCAGTGAAACGCAAGTCACGAATCTCTACACGTCATATCAGTTGACATAGGGCTAAATTCAGTAGCTGTTATTGCGATGTCCAACGAGCAATATCCTTGTCCGTCAGTAAACCGTGGCAGAACAGCACTGTAGATGCGAGCTGCTTCTTCGTTTACCTGGCACGTTAATCATTAAGGCTAATTTCCCCATAAATTTACTCGACCGTTACATCCACCCTGTTGGTAACAATGCATTCGCACTGAATGCAATTAAGCTTACGATTAACTACCTGCTAAATACGTCTATACGTATCAATATTCTCTTACTTTGATATCTATTTATCTATCAAGATGATACAATAATTTTTGTGGAAGAAAATTTCAAAAGTTATCAGCGTTCTTTGAAAATTAGATTTGACGTCGATTTTCATTTATATTTTCATTGATTTAATTATTAAGGAGCTCGTGTAAATATTATAAAAATATTGCATAAGAGAATTGCATTGAAGCAAAATTTTAATTATATTGTATGAACACAGAAAACGTTCTTAAAGAAGCAACTATCTCTATTCTAAATTACATTGAAAACATTCAAGTAAATATATACAAGTGAATTTGAAAACCGTACTAACAGTTGTATGGGAGACATGAATTGAAGCAGAATTTCAATTGTGTCGTATTAACGCAATAAACATTCTCAAAGGAGCTTGCAATGATGTTGCATCGGTCGTTTTTTAGGATAGACAATGCAACGGCGCAGAAGAACGAAAGCTTGTTTCAGTGCTGCAGCGGATTCTGCATTGACCTGCTTCAGAAGTTGTCCGAAGAAATCGGGTTCACCTACGAGCTCGTTAGAGTGGAAGACGCCAAGTGGGGTATGCTACAGGTAAGTTCGATCAAACTCGCTGTAATTATAGTTCGACCGACTAAGTCATTTAAAGGAAGATTTCTAAATCATACTAACTTTTTCGCTGCTTAATGCACAGTTCTGTGACATACGCGAGCTCAAAGGATTTACAAGGGACTTATTTAAATTCAAGATTATCATTTATTTCTTCTGTATAAACGAAAAGCTTTTTTTAGGAAAAATTGAATGGTCACAATTTTATATTGGTAATTAACACGGAAAAAGTTTGCGTATTAAAGGGTTAGTACGTTGAGTGTCGCGTGTACTATTCTTAGGCCAATTTTTGTAAAAATATTTGTTGTGGAAGATGTGGCGACCGATAGCAGTACACGTTACAAAGCAACAAAAACGTGTAGAAATTACATTAAAATTTATAAAAATTACCAAAAATTTAACCCTTTGCACTTGGAGAATTTAATATTGCATTCAAAATCTCTCCTCAGAGGGGACTTACAAGTGGAAAAAGTTAAATATAATTTAGCATTCATACCGAAATTTTACTCGATATTTGCGATGGCACAGAACATGTCATTGAGCACTTCATAGTACGCGCCAAACTGAGTACACCAATACCGCTTTTCTCCGCAGTAATTAATATATTAAAGTGACTAAATGAAATAAAGTAATTAATATAGTATTGGCCAAAAAATTATTGTAGATTATGAATTCAAAATTAAAAATAGTATTTACCTCATATTATATCAATAGAAGGCACTAGTAAAAGCTTGACAAAAAGAGATTAATGTTTCAGAAATTAGATATCGATCAAATGTACAGGAAGTATCGTTACATTTTATTCGTTATTTACTTACATTTGTTATTTCATATTGGTATTTATATTTGATATTTTCACATTAGTATTGGTTTTTGCGTCCAATCAGATAAAATAAACCGTTTCATAAAATATCATACATTGGTATTTTCTAATCGATTAAATCATACATCCTCGTGTTCATACTTCGTGCTCCAAATCTCGGTTAGACAAACTTTAGACCGCTTCTATAATCGCGCAAAGCAAATATTATCGACTGGCAGAAGTGGAATTATACACGATTTCTTGTTTCCTTGATATTTCAGTTATAAACCTTATTAACCAGTAGCTATTTTCCAAGTTTGGAAATACTAGATATAATATAAGCATTGAAATAAAATTGTCACTATAAAATATAGAAAAATTATTTTTGTTACGTGTAAAATTAAAACATTAGAATATTATTCTTTCTTTTAAACTATTTAAAAGTAAAATATATTTTATGCTAGCTTTGAATTATATTTTCTGCTTATTACCAGATTTGCAAATTAATTTACGTACTCGTAAACAACTGGCAATACATAATACGAACACAACTCGTAAGTAGAACGTGGACATTTATGGAAATTTACATTTTCGTCAGCAAATTTGCAGAAATTGAAATGAAATGGAATTGGATTCCCTTGATTGGATGGTTTGAGTAAATGAAACACAAAATGAAGATACTCAAAGTACTGTTAATATTCATATTTTACATTTTTTGTTAAATTTTATTATTATAAATTCATAAAGCCAGCAATTTATTTATTATAAATTTCATGCCTTTTGAAAACTGTCAGATACATATGTATTTACACGACAATAGGGGGATTTTGCAACAGTCTCACTCGATATTAATTTAACACACTATATGCGTCGAACATCTTCCGTGCTTTTGAACGTGTGAGAAAATCTCTTGCGTATGTGAATCAGCTTAATAATTTACGAATGTTATTAATTTGAAGGAACCTAACTTTGTAAATACTCAACATTTTCTGATGAGATATAAGTATATGACACTTAAAATTAGCTTAACGAGAAACCGTACATAAATTAAAGAACCAAGCTATTTTATTTTAATATTTTACAGACTGATACATTACACAAAGTAAATATTATCGACTAGCAGAACTAGAATCATACACGGTTTCTTAATATTAAATATCAAACTTTGTAATTTTCTACATCAAATCAAGTGTTGACTAAAAGGCGCCTCTGGAGTGCAAAGGATTAATGTTTATTCGCAAAAGAAAACACCATCGATGAGCTTGACAGTCTTCCGATAATTACATTCATTTTTAATTCACAAAATATACTTTCCTCGGCGATTCGCCGCGCGCTGGAACATTTCATTGTAAGCACGGAACAGCGTTAATTGAACGTATGATCGTTTCCGATAAAAGCAATAGGAGATTCCGATCGTTTAAAAGGCAGGATTAGTTTCAATAATCGTGAGAATGGGGTGGAAATGTCTTGGAAGTAACGAACACCGATACACGCGGCACCCAGCAATCCCGTTTAATCCAACCTTTTAGGTTTTAATGCCGCGAAGCAATATCGATGGAATAGCTATATAGATTAATCACATGTAATTGCACCGCTGTCCATTAACGACACACTGGAATTTGCATCGAGAATAGACCTCCGTGGTGTACAACGATTGAATACTGTTAAAACGTCCGCGAATAGGTATGTTTATGCGCCTACATATTTACATGCACGCAAATTTCGCGACATATAAAAGCAATGTGCTGACAGAAAGAATTTGTACTCCTACAGGAAACGTACGTTATTAACACTAGAACTACCGAGCAGTCACATTAAATAATTTATATTGTTTTGTACAGATTAAGATAGCGCGTTTATTCAAATTTTGATTAGCTTTTATGTTAGAATACTCGTTGATGAATTAATGTATTTAATAATTTAATAATTTAATAATTTAATAATTTAATAATTTAATAATTTAATAATTTAATAATTTAAAATCGGGAATGGGTTATTGCGATTAGTTTGGTGAATCTAGTGTTATAGAAGTGTTAGTTATAGAAAAAAATTATAATGGGATAACTTATATTTATGTAACATAACTTAAATGTACGAAAAAAAGTATACAAAACATTTAACTTATCTCAAACACGTCAAATGTTTTCTTTATTTTTTATAATATAATGATAATTACCATAATAATTTAAATATTAAGTTGTAACATAAATATGTTTGACAGCAAGTGTATTCATGTTCTAGTTACAAAATTTAATTATGAAGTTACGAATTTCACAAAACTGAAATAGCAAATTGTTA